ACAACAAAATCTATGAGTACTCCAATTTTCAGGTTTTTTCACGCATTTTTCTCAGCGCAAAAACTCACTGAATTTGGAGTACTTTTTTAGTTGGCCCAGGTATGGCTGAGTGGCAAAAATGGAAAATGTGTTGAATCAGCGCGCCTATTATTTCGCACTATAAATGATTTTTTTTTTTATGTTTTATTATTATTTCTGGAAAGAACACGACCTCACCTATGGATTCTCAAAATTTCAGATTTTTGTGCATGTTCGTCTGAGCACAAAAAATCGCCAAAGTTGTCTCTTGCAAAACGCCTGTTTCGTTGTGCCTGACCTCCCTGTTTTGAGAAGACGGGGCTCAACGCCTGAGCCTGAGGGCCCTTTTGCAGCTCACATGCCCTCACTTCTTTTTGGGGTCTGCTTCTACCCCAGGACCGGTCCAATGACCCCCACTTCTTTTTGGGGTCCACTTCCTCCCGAGGACCGGTCCCCCAAATTTTTTTGCCCCCCAAGAACCCACTTTGCATCCTTGTCGCCCGCCGCAAAAAATGCGACACCTTGACACAGACGCGGAAACCCACTATACCGCAGCCTAAGGGCTGCGAAATAGTGATTGAAAAATATTAAACACAGTTCTCGTTCCACCCAACTCTTGAAACCCCAGATGTCATTCTGTGGACATGGTAGGACAGTTGTGATGGCATGTTGATTGTGGAGAAGTTTGTCTGTTTGTGTTTCCATCGACAGTTCTTTTGTAGTCAGGTTTGAGCCCAATATTTGAATTCTCAGGTTTAATTCTTAGTCAGAATCATCATAGCTGACATTCATGGCTTGATTACGATGCTTATCAGGGTTGAGGCCCTCAATTTCACATGCTTCATAACAGAAGCTCAATAACCAATAATCATGACATACAAACTACAATAACTTCCATAATAATCTCCAACTACCTGGGGCTGGTCGCCTTTGGATATATCTCAAGACCGCCGCTCTTTTATTTATAAAAAAAAAAAAAGTAAAAAAAAAAAAAGAGGGGTTTGAGCTTGATTTTTCTCTATATTTATGGTTTGGTTGTCGAAGCGCGAACATGAAACATGGGGTGGAATTTCTAGTGCCATTTGCAATAACAGATATCCATTATGATTGTATACCGCGTGGGCATGGGGAACGCAGCCCTAAGGTAGCTGAAGCGGTTATTTTGTGGTCTTACAAGAGAGAGAGAGAGAGAGAGAGAGAGAGAGAGAGAGAGAGAGAGAGTATTTTACTCTTAAGTCCTAGTGCATCACACACACAACAAACTGATTGTTCTAAACCTTCGAAGGTCATTACTTCTTGTAAGATATCTAATATTTTTCTTTTGATTTTTTCGTAATTAATATTTTTAAATACTTCATAATGTTTAGATTTTTTTAAAGTTTATGTTCTTGCGATTGTCTTTAATCTTTTATGTTTTATTATTGTTGTATTGTTTTCATCATTTAGGTGAAGCAGTTATTTTGTGGTCTTACAAGAAAGAGAGAGAGAGAGAGAGAGAGAGAGAGAGAGAGAGAGA